AATATGGGGTTTAAAGAAGAATTTTGCCCTTCTGGAGTTATTGGAAAAACTGCAGTTATCACGAGATCTGACAGCAGCTGAGCAAAATGAGAGCACCAATGACAATGAGGTATGTACTTTCCTTTCAGTGCTTGGTTTTGGGTTATCTTGTACCGTAGCTACCATATGTATTATAAAAAGGGGGGTGATCTACATTGATTCATTTCCAGGTCAACAGCTTGGGTTGTAAAAGAAGCATGTAGGTATCCATGGTATTTAGGTATCCATGTTGCCTTTGAAAGTTTACAAAATTTTTAGCTCAAACTCGTAATTTTTTTATATTTTGCAAACCCCACATCACAATAACTCTGATATGATTGTAATATATCATTCAATATATGGTACTATTTAAAGCATATTAATTAAGGTTGTGGACCACGATGTGTTAATGCATTGATGTTCTAGGGTCTATGTTAATCTCTTATAAATTTGAGAGACAAATAAAATAATCAAATCAAAGATAATACACATACTCTAGCATTATTCTCCCCAATTGCTGTACCAGGTTTAATTCCTAGATATGTTACCATGGTTATTGGCATTTCATTGTTTTTGTTTGCTTTAATTATTAGGTTATTTCCTGCGATGAAAATGAAGAACACACAGCTAGTGTTTATTGTTTAATCTGCAGTACACATCTATGTTCAGAGTGCTCTGAATCATCTCATTCAACACGAACATTAGCCAAACATAAACGAGTTCCATTATCAGAAAAGCCGAGAGAGAGGCCAACATGTCCAGACCATCCAACACAGCTGTTAGAATTCTGCTGCCTTGAGAAAGATTGTGAAAGAAATCCTCTCATCTGTATATTCTGTAAAGATTATGGAAGCCATCGAGGACATAAGGTAAAATAAGATGCACATCGTCATATATGGGGAAATTATTAAATTTGTGGGTACTCAGGTTTGGGGAAAATTATTACATTATGGGTATCAGATATAGGAAAATTATTAAATTTTTGGGTATCAGATATGGGGAAATTATTAAATTAATGGGTACTCATTTATGGGAAAATTATTAAATTTATGGGTACTCAGATATGGGAAAATTATTACATTATGGGTATCAGATATTGGAAAATTATTAAATTTTTGGGTATCAGATATAGGAAAATTATAAAAATTTTGGGTATCAGATATGGGAAAATTATTAAATTTATGGGTACTCAGATATGGGAAAATTATTAAATTTATGGGTATTCAGATATGGGAAAATTATTACATTTATGGTATCAGATATGGGAAAATTATTACATTTATGGGTATTAGATACAGGAAAATTATTACATTTATGGGTACTCAGATATGAGAAAATTATTACATTATGGATATCAGATATGGGAAAATTATTAAATTTTTGGGTATCAGATATGGAAAAATTATTACATTATGGGTATCAGATATGGGAAAATTATTACATTTATGGGTATCAGATATGGGAAAATTATTAAATTTATGGGTACTCAGATATGGGAAAATTATTAAATTTATGGGTATCAGATATGGGAAAATTATTAAATTTATGGGTACTCAGATATGGGAAAATTATTACATTTATGGGTATCAGATATGGGAAAAATTATTAAATTTATGGGTACTCAGATATGGGAAAATTATTACATTATGGGTATCAGATATGGGAAAATTATTACATTTATGGGTACTCAGATATGGGAAAATTATTAAATTTATGGGTACTCAGATATGGGAAAATTATTAAATTCATGGGTACTCAGATATGGGAAAATTATTACATTTATGGGTACTCTGATATGGGAAAATTATTACATTATGGGTACTCTGATATGGGAAAATTATTACATTAATGGGTATTAGATATGGGAAAATTATTGAATTTTCGGGTATCAGATATGGGAAAATTATTAAATTTATGGGTATTAGATATGGGAAAATTATTACATTTATGGGTACTCAGATATGGGAAAATTATCAAATTTATGGGTACTCAGATATGGGGGAAATTATTACATTATGGGTATCAGATATAGGAAAATTATTAAATTTATGGCTACTCAGATATGGGGGAAATTATTACATTATGGGTACTCAGATATGGGGAAAATTATTAAATTTATGAGTACATACTCATGTATACACGTATGTCATTGTTTAATAAGTTGTTACATTTATCACAAACTTACTTAACAGTATGCTGACCTTATTTGCAAACTTGTTCTTTTTCCCAAAATTTGAGTTCTTTGAACATGCTGACGTCAAACAAAGAATTTTGCAAACAGAAAGTTTTGCACAGCCTTATTAACACACCCTTATTGAAAAACTATAAAACCATTTATTTTCACTTACATTTAATTTCACTATTTTGATGTTTTGAGCATGTTTACTATGTTTTTAATTTCACAATTTTGTCACAGAAGCAATGAGTTTACTTATCAGCAAAAAGAGCAAAATTAAAACCCAGTGAATAATTAATACATTTACAGTATTATTTGTTTGGCTATTGTTATACCACTCGTTTAGTGCATTAGTGGAGACTGTCAATAAAATTGTTTCTGTTTATATCCGCAGCATACGCTGGTAGAAAGTGAGGCTGACAATGTGCGTACGTCTATTATTGAGGCAACACAGCATATCCGAGTCTTTACTGAAGAAGTCACAGAATCCGCAAAACGCTTAACTACAATTATACAACAGGTTGAGGGGGGAATGCAAATGCTAGAACAGCCTGATGGAATGGCAGAGCTCAGACAGGTCAGTCACCTCATAGTTGTAACTTGCAAACAATTTCCTGTATTCAAGGAGTCAAATGCTACAAATACGCCAACACACTCAAAGGTAGAAAAGAAATGGTATCTGGGGTATGAAAAATGTCACATTATGGTGAGAAAGCCAGAATGAGGCTACCGGTACTACTAGTTGACATTATGTAAATGCAACACAAGGGAATTTACATAATCTTCAATAGAGAGCACTGTATAGCTGATCTCTGATAAATGACTGTAGGATACTTTTTTTGACTCCTGTGTGCGAAAGCACAAAAGGGAGTCTTTGCAGTTACCCTGTCTGTATGTATGTATGTATGTATGTATGTATGTATGTATGTATGTATGTATGTATGTATGTATGTATGTATGTATGTCACTGTTTTTGTTCCACTGTTATCTCAAGAACCACTAATCAAATTTTGGTGAAAC